TAGGATCTAGCACAAAACGATAGGAAAACTGACTTTGAAAAAGCACCTGAAAATTTCATCCATTCAGTAACGGGCTGAGAACTGTAGTGAACTGCCAAGTCTGCCCTGTGTGTTAGCATCACTGACTGTCACTTGTTCATGTTGAAGGTTGTCCACACATCACCTTACTTCCCAGGGGAGCTGTCTACATGCTAAGTGCTGGAAGCCATGACTGGTACCTGTGAGCGGCCAATTCCTCTTCCTCGTTATAGGATCCTCTGTATGACTCTGAAAGATAAAGGGTTGTTGTTCTCCTGGCACTGCCAACTGAGGCTTGGGAGGTGGGTGACATACTCCAAGCTGCACCCCAAGAAAGCCAGAATTTCAATCCAGGATAGAGGCTAAAGCTCCCCCTTGCTCTTAAGCATGAAGAGGGACTTGTGAGCAGGTGGCTAGACCAGGAGTTCCAGGGTTCTCTCTCATCTGAAGCTCTGTCCCAGAAGGCTGCCACTTGGACACCCTTTGAAACCTATACAGGGGAGTCTGTGTCCTCGTACAGGTTCCCTGTTTCTGAGTCAAATGCCCCGCCCATGTCCATTCAGGCCCATGTCCAGCTGCCAGGCTTTGGGTGTGTCCCAGCAAAAGCATGTGTTGGGGATTGTCAGTAGTGCGGTGGCATGAAGAGGTGGGGTATGAGGAAAGAGAGAAAATTAGGCCACGGGTGTTCTGCTCTGTGGAGCGAACTAGTGCCCCTCTTTTGGTGCCTGGTTTGGTATCACAAGAATGGCTTCAGGGACAACTCCAGAGGGCTACAGACAATTTTAACTCAGTGGAAAATCTGGTCAACTCCTCTGACTTACTATAGCTGTTGGACGCTAACAGTAATTGTTCTTTCTTTAAGGCCAGCCCAAATCTCCACGTCATGCAAGGGTCTTTTTGAGGAAGAACAAAACAGAGCCATGTGCAGGGATTTGGGGCCAGATAGGTTGGTTTTGGGCCCTGCCCTGCTTCTGCTGGGTGTGGCAGCCTGGACCTCAGACTCTTGTTTTGCAAAACTTGGATTTTAGTATCTATTTTTTTCCCCAAGCAGTTGTGAAGATTAAGCTGATGTATTCAGAGGTGTCTGGTACAGAGTAGGTAGGTGTCTAATAAATGGTAGCTATTATTATTACCCACATGTGTCACCAGACCACATTTGATGTTTGAAATCCCATCTTTTGGTTTAAGAAGCTTGCCTTGTGAAAAAAAGAAGAGAAGTAATGCAGATTCATTCAGTTCAGCTTTTTTTCCCCCGTAAGAGCCTTCATTCATAAAAGAGAGAGAGAGAAACAAATACTGCACTTTAAAAAAAACAGCCGAGCAATGATGGGATGGCAGGATGGAAAGGAACATTTGAAATAAACAGGAGTAAGACACACATGGGTAGGGTCCACACATTTGGCTTGTAGCATTTTCTAAGGAAAGAAGTCGAAGAGCTGCTGTTGGGAGTGAGAGTGGAGCAGTTGTGAGTCCAACTGAGGACAGGGTGTGGGGACCTAGATCGGGTCCTGAGAGCAGACAGTGGTGGGGTGACTAGGCAGGGAGGCAGCAGACCTGAGCAACCTGAACCAAGGTAGTGGTGGGTGGCAGGACTGAGCAACCCAGTGTGAGCTCCAGCTCAGTCTGTTGTGGCTCACTCATGGGTGGCTGGGTAGACCTTGTCCTTTGTCATACTCAAGTCCCCAGGAAGGGAGCAGGCACATCCTCTCAACATAGCCCCAAACTCTGAGCTGGGGTTTGGACTTCTATGGGGAGGGAGAATGCACTATGGGAGAGACAGCCAGAGGGGAAGAAGATGAGAGGGTGAGCAGAGCTGACTCAGACTGGGTCCTTTCTGCAGGTGTCAGCTAAGCATGTTGCCTTCCAAGTCTGTGCCTTTTATGAGACTGCTGAGCCCATGAGGGTTGAGTGTCTCCCAGGGTCCTGTGATTTGCCCAGTGCCTTTTATTCCCATGAGTAACAAGAAGCATGGCTATCTCTCTAGCCACTCTCACCCTCCTCTGCTCCGGTCCTGGTTCTTGCCATCTATGAGGCTGACTCTCATTGCGTCCTCACTGATACCCTGCCTTCAGCTTTCCTCCTACCAACGTCGCTCAGCACAGCAGCCATAGGGCTCTTCTTAAACTATACCCCAGTATGTCCCTGCTCCATGCCACACTCCTGGATGACTCTGCTGTCGCTGCAGGCCACAGCACCATCGTGTCACGACTCTTCAGGATCCACTTGTGTTGACCTTAGCTTTTGCTGCCTTTCTTTTCTCTCCCTCTACTATAGCCACCCCAGCTTCTGGATTATCCCCTGAATATGGCAGACATGCTCCTGTCTAAGGGCTTCTTGCCTGGAATGCTATTTGCACATCTTGTTGACTGACCTTCCTTGGGTCTCTACAGAGAAATCACCTGAGGGTGCCCTCTCTGGCCTCCTTATCTCTCATTGCAACCCTGCTGTTCTCAACACCTCCCTCCCCACCCCAGCTCTGCTGCTCTCCATAGCACTTTTTGTAACTTGCCATACAGGTATGTTATATATTCTTTATTGTCCCTCTCTTCTAGGATGCCAGTCCATAGAAGCAGAGAAATTCTGGTCTGGTTTGTTTATGCTTGCACCCTCTGCCTGAAGGACAATGGCCAGCACACAGCAGTTCCTCCAGAAGCATAGGTGAGGAATGAATGAGCACCATAAACAAGAGATGAGGTGCCAGGGCTAAACAAACAGAGCCTTCAGGCCCATGACTGAGGCCAGAACGTAGACCCAGGAAGTATGCCAGGGACCCAGTCACTCCAGGTGGAACACAGGGCCAGGGCAGGATTGCAGAATCAGAGGGATGCCCAGACATCAGGAGTGGGGCATGAGGTCACAGCTTGGCCTGGAGCCAGGCTGATGGAGGGAAGCTGGTGGCCCTCTTGTCATGGCAGGTCCTGGGCTGTGTGTCCCAGGTAACCTAGTAAGAGAACACAGAGGAGCTGAAGGGCAGGTTGTCAGGCAGGATCTCCAACCTCTGGGGTAAATGCCAGGTAGGTTTCCCAGGCTCTCACTTCCTCCCAGATGGAGGTGCCAGGGGATACTCCACCTGGGAACACACTCCTCCCTAAGTGGGGGAGCTGAGGAACAGCAGGTGCTTCGACCTGGTGACGATGGGACATCGGTGATATCAAGGGACACAAGGCTGAGTGAGCACCTGGAGGTGTAGTGTGCTGGGGACGTTTTGGGGATGGGGTCGTAGGGTGGGTTTGGAGATGCTGAGATGAGCTCTGTTCCAGGGGAAAACCTTGAGTTTGGGGAAAGGGGCCAGGAGAGCACACATACGCACAGAGAAAGCCGAAAGAGCAGAAACCTAGAAGGAGTTGGGGCTGGAGAATCTGGCCTGGTTACTTCGATGCAACCCAAGGTGTTCTCCAGCAATTGGCCTCCACCTCAGCGCTGGACTTCACGCTTACTGACAACCGAGAGTTGGCTCAGCGCTGCCCCTCTCTCATTCCTGAAAGCTGGTCGACATGCTTACCATCTAATGTGCTTGCTTTACTGTGGGACTGGCACACTGCCTCCACTCTGCAAGGGACCCTGGCTGCCCACCCACGCCATGGTGAGGGGTGCACCTTGTGGACCTGAGCTCCACTCTCCCTTTGGTAGCTTCGTGCACTCTGCAGAGCTGTGTGGTCTCTCTGCCCCTTGGTGCCTGCACCTGTGAGATGGCATGATTGACAGGGCACTTGATCCATAGGGCTGTTGGGAAGGAGGGCAGCCTGCGCTCACTGAAGGGCAAGCCTCGCTGTGACAATGTCGTCGGTGTCACCCACCATGCTTGATTTGGGTGGGATAACGGATGTCTTGTGAATTGTCATCCTACAGTCCACCCCCGTCCCCACCCTGCAAGACACACATCCCTTATTATTCAGCTGCAGGGATTTCAGAATTTAGCAATAGTGATTCCCATTCTTCCCCAGAAGTCCAAGGTCATAGGTCAGCTCACTGGAGCACTTGTGGCCCAGGATTGTTTGCCTGAGGCTAGACAGTGCACTCTGCGACAGGGCAACCAAGTTGAGGAGCAGGAGTCTGGCATAGTCCTGAGGACAGAGCACCTATTGGAGGCAGGTCGGCAGGCGGGGAAGAAACTGAGGGCTAGGCCCATTCTGAGTTAGGTACGCGGGGAGGTTAAATGCCTGGAGAGGGCGGTAGTAGGCACAAGGTTGGGACCCCAGCCACGCCTTGGCAAAGGGCGGCTGCTCCAGCCAGCTGGGAGCGAGAGGTGTCCTCCTCCACGACCCTAAGGGCTGGGCAGCTTTATTACCAAGGAGCGTCTTCTGTGGCCCTCAGGGCTTGGCCAGGTCCCTCCCGGGCGCCAGAACAGCAGGGCGCAAGCAGCCGGTGCCCCTGGAACGCCTTCGTGGAACGTTCACTCGCCCAGACCTGCGCGCCCAGACACAGTGCAGGTGCTACGGCAAGTGCTCGGCGAAGCAGTCTCTGCCACCGTGTGCTAGCGCGCGGTTCTGGCACCTCGCTAGCTGTTTCTGGGCGTTCAGGTCCCCCAATAATCCGCGGATAGCAGCACCAGCCCGGCAGAGGGCCTGGGGCACCGGTGTGCGTGTGCCGGGAGGACGGCCCTCTTCACTGCCGCCGCAGCGCCTCCCCCTCCCCTGGCGCGCACGGCCCGTCCCCGTCCCTGGAGGCGGCCCGAGCTGCCGCGGAGCAGCCTCGCCTTCGCCTCCCGCGTTTCCTGCCGCCCGCCCTCCCCCGGCCGGGCTCCAGGGGCTGCCGCCGTGCAGCTCCGGCAGGGATATCGGTTCAGAGCGCACACGGGGGCGGGCGGAGGCGGCCCGGTGCGGGGTGGCCGCGCTGAGAGAGGCGCGCGGAGACACCGGCCCCCTCTCCGCGTTTGCTCGCTCGTTCCCCGCCTCCCGCACTCCTCTCGCTCCCACCCCTTTCCCGGCGTGATTGATCCGTCACGGGCGCCGCCGCAGCTGCTGCTGCTGCCGCCGCCGCGGCCGTTCGGAGCCGAGCAGGAGCCTGAGCCGGAGCTCGGAGTCGGAGCCCAGCCGGCGCCATTGCGCGGGCGCCGCGGGGAGAGCCTAGTACGGGGCGGCGGGCCGGGCCAGGCCATGCGGGCCGAGTGAGCCGGCGCCCGCAGTCCGCGGCGCGGCATGGCTTCCCCGTGGAGCTCCGGGCAGCCCGGGCCGCCGCCACCGCCGCCGCCGCCGCCACCCGCGCGCCTGCTGCTGCTCCTGCTACTGCCGCTGTTGCTAGCGCTGGCGCCCGGGGCCTGGGGCTGGGCGCGGGGCGCCCCTCGGCCGCCGCCCAGCAGCCCGCCGCTCTCCATCATGGGCCTCATGCCGCTTACCAAGGAGGTGGCCAAGGGCAGCATTGGGCGCGGGGTGCTGCCCGCTGTGGAACTGGCCATCGAGCAGATCCGCAACGAGTCACTATTGCGCCCCTACTTCCTCGACCTGCGGCTCTACGACACGGAGGTGAGTGTCCGGTCGTCCGTGCCGTCGGGACTCCTGGGGGCCCTAAGACAGGTTTGCTGGCTGGAGGCTAGCTCCTGCCCGCGGCTGACCTGCCGATGCCCGTGCTCGCCAAGGAGCCCGCTTCTCAGGGTCCTGTTGGGCTTGGCTGACAGCTGGTACCAGAATTTGCATAGCACCCCCTCGGTTGGGTTTGTGTTGTATATATGTGTTGGGTGGGTGGAGTGAGGGTGATACGCAGGCTGGGGTCTCCTTTGACCAGGGAAGTAGCACGGGGGAAGCTAGGGAGCTGGACCCCCACAAAGGCCTGCAATGGGTCTCCTCTGCCCAAGAGCCACTCCTGGGCTATAGGGTGCCAGATGGGAGGAATAGGCGCAATGACTGTGAACTGGGTCACCTGGGGCTGAAAGGGCAGCGGGCTTGCCTCCTCGATGCCCTGGCAAAGTGAAAATGCTCTTTGAGGTCTGGAGGGCTCTGGGACCCAAGGGGCCAGAGCGCGCAGCAGGGCTGGGCATGTGGCGCGCCCCGGTAGCTCAAGCCCTGCACGGCGCGGGCAGGTGTGAGGCTTCAGGGCTCTGCAACGAGGTTTGCCCGGTGTGGCCGGCACTGCTGGTAGCCTGAGAGATTTTAGGAAGAGCCCTCGCCCTCTCCGCCTTCGGCTCGTTGCTCAGGGAGTGCCCTGGCAGCTCTGGCCCGGAATGAACGCGGAGCGGTGGTGTCCGGCTGCGTCGCTGCTGCTGGCCAGGCGGCCGCAGGTGCAGTTTCTCCAGGACACAGACTTGAAGCATCCTAGTGGCCCCAGCAGGGACTTGGTGGTGAGCGCGGCGGTGGGCTTACCCTCCCGGCCTCCTTCTTGGAGCCTAGCCAGAGAACCCAGAGCTTTCCATCCCAAGGTGTTCCTCCCCACTCTCTAGGCTTGGTTTCCGCGAGGGAGCCTCGGCTGGACATTCTGCCGACTAGCCCAGGGGCTGGAGGAGTGAGTGCCCGCCCGCCGCGCAAGGTCGGGCTTTGGAGGTTTTCCGCGCTGAGGGAGCCGCTGAGCTCCGGTCGCAGCTTCTGAGACACGACCTGAAGGGGGCAGTGATTTCCTGTGCAGTCCGCTCAGTTGGCGCCTCTTCCATCGCGCCAAGCCCCAGCTGAGGCGCAGGGATTGACCCCGGCTCTGGGGGGCGCCGGGGGAGGGGGCGGCTCTCTCGGCGCGCTCCTGGTGATGCTCAGGTGCACACTTCTTGGGAAGGAGGAGGGTCGCGTGACCTCACCGCAGGCCTCGGGTCTGTCGGGGTCCGACCCTCTTTCTGTCCCCGGAGAAAGAGGCAGAATGGAGACGGTGGCTTATTCTCCGCCTCCCCCGCTCCGCGATGAACTAGCCTGCTGCTCTGCGCTGTAAATAAAAGGTGAAGAAGGAACCAGTGGCGGTTGGCAAAGGGGCGTGCAGACCGAGAGGTGTCCCCTGCCTCCGGGAGGATGCTAGCTAGGTGGCTGTGCTGGGCCAACTCGGAGTGAAGTCATTTCCGAATGACATTCCCAGCACCCTGGCCTTTGCCTGAGGGTTGTAAGTTCTCTGGGGGGTATGTGTCCAACACACCTACTTGAGGCTGCGGGCCGTGCCTCCCGGACACTCCTTCTCCCCAGCTCCCTTATACATTCCTATGGCAAGGAGGCCAGAGAGCCACTTTGTTGGAGACCCACGTTTACAGACAGAGCAGCCCTGCTTGCATCATCGCCAAGTGTTGTCAGCTGCACAGTGTTTCCAGCATCCCTTTCACGGTACCCAGACGTGGCTGTGTGCGTTGAAGCCCTTACATTTTAGTTGTTTCAAGTGTGTCTCGATGACTTTCTGAGAGGGTCTGAAAGGAGGAAGCTGCCAGCAGGCTCTTCTGCCCACAGCTACCACCGTCCCCCTCCCTCTTGGATATTTAGGAAATGCTGGGAAGGAAGACAAGAGAATGTGTCAGCTGTGTACAAGGAGAGCCCTGCATCTCCAGCTTTTTAGAAGGCCGTGGAGTGAGGGCGTTGGGGCTCATGGGGCCTGATTTCTAGACAGAAACTGATTGCATTTCCCCCACCCCCGGGGGTGACCTTGAGCCAGGTAGCTAATCTCTCTAAGCCCGAGTGTCTGAATCTGAAGAAATGGGATGTGCTATGGGCACCACCGAGTGCCAGTGCGAGGCTTAGGAGAGCTAATTGGCCAGATGGGAAGGTGTCTTTAGCGGCCAGCCTGTCTGGCATGCTGTAAGCACTCAGCCAATGCTCCCTGCCCCCTTTCCTTCATCTTCATTCCTTGCGGATGCGCAGGTCAGATGTTGTGGCATTGAAAAGTGATCAAGTGGCCATGTCCAAAATGTTCTTTCTCCTACTTGATTTTGGGTTCTCCTGGAGAGTCATTGAAGTTATTGCCAGATGAGAAAAACAGAATTCTGGCTAATGGTCAGTTGTGTTGACTTCTGCCATGAGACATCAGCATTGGGATAATGCCTAGGTGATTATATGTATGTATGTATTTATGTATTTATATGTATGTATGTATTTATGTATATTCTGAGTTGGAATGAAAGAAGAATCAGTCTAAGGAATTTCCAGAAAATGTTAGAGTGATCTGAAAAGGGCTGGTAGCTGGTAGCCTGTGTTTGGGCCTGGTAACTCAGATGGGCCACACACCATGGGTATAAGTGTGCTTTTTCAACTGCTTGCCGGCTGGGACATTGTAGACTTGAGAGCCAGGTGGATGTGGTGAAGGGAGGATGGTGAGTTTTGTTGACATTTGCTGTTTGTCAATGGCTGTAGTGGCCGGTTGTCCCCACATTCTATAAGGAGATGGACATTTCACATGTATTTGTCCAGGACCCCTCTCAACTCCAATTAGAACAGCAAGGACCTTTCAAAGCCAACTCAGCGCCATGTGTTTGTAAAAGCAAACTATCCCAATAGATACCTGTTCATTAAATCCGTGCTTCCCAGAAATGACATCACATCACTTCAGCAAGGGTGCTTCCCAATGCCTGGGGAAAATGGAATTAAAGGATCAATTTATTTTGCTGCAAAATGTTTTGAAATCCATGCATAGTTTTTTTCCCCCCATAATGTACATCTTTCATGTGCTTTCTGAAGACCCTACACAGTTCCAGGGAAGATTTTCATATGCATATCCAAGTATCAAAGCAAACACAGCCGAAAATATTCTTCAAGGAAGAACCAGAAACTATATCGAAGCATGGGAGTTACTATATGAAGACCCTGGGCTAAAATGGTTACTGCATCTTGAGTTTTATATTTTAGTTACAAACTTTCCATGAGCCAAGGAAAAAAGATAAACACGATGGATCTTATTGCTTTTGTGTTTGATTAAAAAGATGAAAGTACATTTTTTTTAAAGCTTCATAGGAAATTCAGAAATGCTCTGCACAAATAAAATAGTGACTAAGGGTGTTTGGCAAGTAGTTCAAACATCACTAGGGAAGCCTGCCTCCTATAGCCGAGTGTCTGGGTTCAGATCCCATGTCTGCTTCCGATCCAGCTTTCGGTGAATGTGCTCCCTGGGAGACAGAAGATGATGGCTCCCGGTATTTGAGTCCCTGGAAACCATATGGGAGACCTTGTATGAGTTTCAGGCTCCTGGTTTGGCCTGGCCCAGCCCTAAGTGTTGTGGGCTTTTAGGGCCTGAACCAGCAAATGGAAGAGACAGTGGTGTCTGTCTTTGTGTTTCTGCCTTTCAAATAAAACTAATTTTTCAAAACTTCTGTCCTGACTTTTTAAAATTAAGCAATGAGTTTATAAAACCATTGATTTTGGTGATTTGATTAGTGCTCATTGTAGAACAATTGAAAATTAAAGTAGCAGAAAGAAGAACAATAATTGCCTATAATCCGCCTAAACAAAATCATTTTTAAAATAACTGTTTCCTTTCAGCTGCATTTATGGACTAGAGATCTTTGTATGCTCTTTTATATTTTGTGACCTTTGGTTAACATTACATTTTGGGTATTTTCCCACTCTCAACTTCTCTTTATAAAGATGATTTTTCATGTCTGTCAGTTGTTCTGTGAGGGTACTTTACATAATTCATGGAAAATGGAGCTAAAAAAATTAAACTTATTTTGGTGCAAAACAAGTAGAAAATCATGGAGCTAGGAAGGGTCTTCGATAATTTGTGAAAAACACATGTGATGAAAAACATATGCATGAATTAAAGAAAAAATCTGTAGCAAAATAGACTCACCTTCTCCTCTCACTTTCTCCACTAACTCTTTGAAGTTCTCTTGTATTCCCATGCATGCACCGTAAGGCAGGAGCTGGGAACGCAATCCATGTCTCTCATGTGGACAGCAGGAACACAGTCATTTCAGCCATTGCCTGGTGCCTCCCAGCATGTGCTTTAGTGGGAAGCTGGAATCAGGAGCCTAGAATGGAACAGAGACACTCTAATATGGGATGTTACCATCTTACCCAGCATCCTCACCACTAAGCCAAACACCTGCCCTCCCTTGTTACAGTGCAAAAGAACACAATCTGGGTGCGCAGCTCTTGGGATGCCATCCTGATGCAGGGATTCAGCTTAGGAAATCCAGTGCTTGGTGGCTGTGACTTAGTCAATGATAGTGAAGTGGTTGTGTAGTTCTATACACATAAACCACAGGCTGCCTGTACACTCTAAAAGGGTGAATGTTACAGTATATGACCTATGTCTCAAAATGGTTCTTATTAACAAGAAGTTACGATGTGGGCTCTTTCAGGATCAGGCTCATGTCTTTGGGATTAAAGCTGCATTATTCACAGCAGGGTACTAGACCCTTAGTGAATGTGATGCTCCCTTATGGTGGTGGTTGCCAGGGAAGAAGCACATTTTCCCAAGAAAACTCTGGGGTGTACTGTGGTGTTAGCCATCTTCATTACCATAGCGTAGCATCTGAGGCAGGCTATTGTCTCAAGACAAGAGGTTGTCTTTGGTTTATGGTCCTGGAGGTGCAAGATTGAACCTGCTAATAGCCTTCTTGCTGGTAGAGGCC